CACTTTCTTGGGCTCCCTGATCACTGCAGATGGAGACAGCAGCCACAAAATTAAAAGACCCCTGCTTCTTGGGAGGAAAGTGATGACAAACCTAGACCACATCTTAAAAAGCAGAGACATCATCTTGCTGACGAATAGTCCACATAGTCAAAGCTATGGTTTTTCCAGTAGCGATGTATGGAAGGGAGAGCTGGACCATAAAGAAGGCTGACCGCCAAAGAATGGATGCTTTTGAATTGTGGTGCTGGAGGAGGCTCTTGAGAGTCTCCTGAACTGCAAGGAGAACAAACCTATCTGTTCTGAAGGAAATCAACCCTGAGTGCTCCCTGGAAGGACAGATCCTGAAGCTGAGGCTCTAATACTTTGGCCATCTCATGAGAAGAGAAGACTCCCTGGAAAAGATCCTGATGTTAGGAAAGTGTGAAGGCAAGAGGAGAAGGGGACGACAGAGGACGAGGTGGTTGGACAGTGTCATCGAAGTGACCAACATGAATTGGACCCAACTCTGGGAGGCAGCAGAAGGCAGGAGGGCCTGGCGTGCTCTGGTCCATGGGGTCAGAAAGACTTGGACATGACTTAAAGACTAAAGAACAACAAATGCGTAGGCGTAAACACGACTATATAATTTCAAATATATATTTGTAAGAAGTATGTATGAAAACATGCCCACATATTTACACACGTCAACCTTTTCATACATTGGTTGTGAATAGCTTTAAACCTCTGCAGCTCTTATGAGAATGTGCGCCATACGATGGGTGTTCAGCTCCACATGGCAACTGCAAGTGAAGGGACGCACCTTTCCCAAAGCCACCCCCCATTATGGTCCCCAATATCTGTGACCCTTCTCTTACCTCCCTCCAGGAGTAACTTGACGGTAGGGTAATCATCAGCGAGCACCGCATAATGCAGAGCCGTGCAGCCCTTGAAACTCGCCCGGTTGTTCAAGCGGTTGTTGAAGTCGTCTTCTCGGGTGACCAGAACTGGAAAAGGGAAAGGTGAGGAGGGGTGAGGGAAAGAGGAACAAAGCAGAAGTCGGCAGGAAGCCCAAACTCCATGTTTCTCAAATTCAGGGATGCCAGAGGTCGGGGGTGGGAGACTCATCCGCCAGCCATTCTGGGCAAGAGATCCAAATTCAAGGCTTACTGAAGTATGGCTTGCAATCTCACGGGGATGGCTGAAAAGGAGCCACTGCTCCACCTACTTGCAGCAAGGGGTCTCCTGTCGTGGTCCATTTTCCGACAAGCAGCCGGGAGACAGTCACAACCAACGGGGCCGGGAAAAATGCAGGGATTGAGCTAGAGGGCGTTTTGAAGCCATGTCTGTTTGGGACTGTCTCAGAACACCTATGAGGTGCTGAACGGAAACAACGCCATTGGGGCCGCGAAAAATGCAGGGGTTGAGCTAGAGGGCGTTTTGAACCCATGTCTGTTTGGGAGGGTCTCAGAACACCTACAGTATGAGGTGCTGAACGGAAACAACGCCATTTCTGAAGTTGGCACGACTGCAGACTGACGGATCTCAGCAGGAGCATTCCTGTTACAAGTCATGGTGCCAAGCAAGAATCATTTATGGGGGCGAGGGGAGGGCCTTTGGGCTGTGGAATGTCTGCTCCCAAAACAATCACCTGGCAATGACCTCTCTCTTCTACCCAACACTTAAAAGAGGAAGATTTTTAATACATTTTAAGGAGGTTTTAAGTTTTGGATTTAAAAAATATTTCAAAAGGCTGAAATCCTTTTGCACAGCTTTGTCGGCCCAACAGGAACGTGGTCATCACCCGTGCAAAGGGCTTCCTTCGGTGATTTTAGGATACTGGTGACGGGTACACAATGTGACAATCCCACATTCACTCTGAAACTGCTGTCAAAGGAGCCAGCAGCGATCTCCCGTGGCTGACAACACCTCCCAGGGTGCAGATGGACCCTGCCCAGCAGGATCATGGCCAGTTACCTTCTAACTTTGTATAGGGCACACTTTGAAGGTTTGGCTGGAAATACTCTAGAATTTTTATAAAGTGCTAAAAATAGCTTTCTCGTGTCAGATTCTTGCTCTGGTGATCTTCCTCGCTACTGCCTGAGTTGATGCTATATTTTATTATTTCAATGCAAGGCACTTTCACTTTAATATTACCGTTTTATTGTGAACTACCCACAGAACATTGTGGTTGGGTGGCACAAAGGAACACAGAGCACAAACAGTCATAACAGCAGCCATGGAAGAGCTGTTGTGTGGGATCTGGACCGAGGGCCCCTCCTAGCACAGCGTCTTACTCTCTACAGTAGGCGACTTGCTACCTTGTGGAAGCCCCCAAGCAGGATGGGAACGGCTCTCTTCCAGGGATGATCCTAGCACTAACCAGTATTCAGAGCAGAGTTTGGACATTTTAATTCCGGGGATTACAACTGGCCGCAATAGCCTGGAAAGTGAAGAGGCTCTGGGAGCTGAAATCTGAAAAGGCATTTTTCCAGCCTGTGACCGAAAGGTATAATGCCACGGAAGAGGATGGCTCCATATAGCTGTGACGCTAATTTTTACTTGCAGCCCTTTCCTCTCCCACCAATCTGTCTGAAGTAACTGCTGTGGCCAGATCCGGCAACAGCAAGGAAGTTGCAAGCAAGTACATTTACACGTTTCACTCTTTTATGCCTGCGCCTATTCTGTCTCAGACCACAGGGACACACACCAGAGAGCCCAGTGAGGATGCCTTTGCTCCGTGATGCTGAGGCTCCCTCCTCCGAGCACTGGCCAGAAATCACGGTTTATGTCTCCCGCTGCCGAACCTCCCCCTCCTCCTACAACCACACTGCTGGGGGGTGGGTTTCTGCATGTCAAAAATGATCGCTTCACAACCAACGAAGCTCCTTGTGAGGCACGATCCAAGAACAGAACAGACTTAGATAGAATTAAGCTCTACCTGGTGAAATATATCTCTTAAAACCAGGTTGGGAAAGTGATCTTAGCAAAGGCACCAGGAGAAAAAGGCCTCTGTTTTGTGTGTGTTTTGTTTGTTTGTTTAAAGGATGCCAATTGTTTCTAGGGGGTGAAACGACAACTTTGCATTCCTGGGGCTGGCACTGCAAGGGTCACAGACAAGAGGCGGCAGAGGAAGGCGAGCCCAGCCCAAGCTCAGCCTTGCCTTGAGCCCCGCATCGCAGGCTAAACAGGCGGCCCTCCCACCCCGGGAGCACACCAGGGCCCATGACGTTCGTCTCCTGCCTTCCCTCCCAGGCCTCACCGTATTCTTCGAACAAGACAGTCTGACAACTCCTTCCCCCCGTGCTCCCACCACTGTACGAGACTGTCGCTGCCCTTAAGCCACTGGAAACCGGGTTGATGCTCAGGACATTCAAGGCCCTGCACACACTTTGTGGAGGAGGAAAGGATCCTTAACAGGGACTCC